GTAAAGTCCACGCTGTCCGGGACTCTAAACTACAGGGCGGAGAGAGCGAGAGAAAGAGAGAACACGGTCTTTGTACGTTTTGGGAATTCGTTTTGTAATCTTTCCTTTTTTCTGCTTTTTTTTTTATGTTTATTTGTAATGATTTGTTCTCAAAACTTAGGAGGGCTGAAGAAGCAGTTTTTTGTGACACGTCAGAATATATCACTAAATAAAACAGGTGCTTTTTATGGATCAAAGTACGTTCGATCTCTATTATACATAAGAAGACGAAAAATAAGTGTTATCAAGACAAATTTTAGAAGAAAGAAAAAACGTTCATTACTCTTTCCTTTTTGTATTTTCTAAAGGGGGGAGGGCGTTCAATGTGGTCAAGGTTGTGACAAAAGGCATTTTTCCTCCAACCTTTTCTCCGAAGCGATCAAAGAATGTCGACTTATGACGTCCTAAGAGGTTTTACGACTTCTAACTAGCTAAAATGCAGGATTTTCCGGTATTTTTGACTTCATGCTATGCATTCCAATTTTCTAGGACTTCCATGCTTTGGATCGCCCGAACCACCGTAGTCCTTAACAAACTTCCCGTCGGAACTTCGCTGGCTTTTTGTACATAGAAAATGTTGAATTCGTATGAAAGGTATGACAAGATCTTCCCTGTTTATGGGAGAGGCTTTAACACAGCTCGAATACACTAAAATGCCCGTTGTAAGCTAGAAATTTTGGAGTATGAAGAGAGATGGGAGGTGTGATGTGAATTTGCTATCTTTTATACTTTTAAACTTGTGAATCTCACAAAAACTTTCGAGACATTTTTCTACAGAGCCCCGCACATGACACTAGGACAACAGTATATTTATCATAGCCATGAATTAAGAATTTGTTCCCATGTTCTATTAATTAATTCCCTCGCTTTAGTTAAATTGTTGTTACAAATTAAGAATTCATACCAATAATATATAAATTTATTCTCTCGTTTTTATAATCAAGACATCATACAACAAAGAAGCCATAATTGACAAGAATGAGGGAGCAAATATGTATGTGGCTACGATTTATGAAAATAATGAAACAAATTAGTACACTGTGGCCATGATTTACGAAAACAACAAAGCGAATTAGTACAACATGGTTACGATTTACGAAAACAAGGAAACTTAAGTCATAGAAACAAATTATTAATTCGTGGGGATATTTTTTTCTACGTCATTTGTGGGGCTCTGTATATTTCATTCAGAAATCGTAAGAAAAAAAGTTGTATTGTAATGTCATTTATTTTTGGCAAAATATAAAAACACACAAAATATAATTTTTCTTTTGATTTTGGGGTGAAATGTGATTATTTTCGTAAAGAGATTCACCCAAACAGATTCCCAAACAAAGTCAGCGACCAATCAGAAAGAGAGAGTTGAAATTGAACCCCTCCCCCCTGAATCCGCAGCACCCTCTACTGGCCCCTGTGTAAATGACTCTAAATATTTGTTTTGTGATCTAGTGTTAGACTCAGCGCATCATAAAGGTTGTCCCTAAAAAGTGCCTTTTGTTCACAGACACCATCTTGTAATCCTGAGTGCCCATCTCAAAAAAAGAAAGAAAAAAAAAAAACTAAACAAAAAAATCCCCTCGTTCAAACTTCTGTATTTCTCCTTCCGCGACTTCTTCAAAGCAGTATATATATAGTACTAAAGGAAATCGGTGTGACTTAGTTCCTCTTTCTATTGTTGAATAATTAAGAAAAACTGTAAAAAAAAAAATTTTTTTTGAAAAATGACAACAACAAAAAAAAACTTTCTGTCTTGCTTTTCCTTCCTCTGTAATCTTGTCTTCTGCCTCTTTTGGACACTGGAGTAGTCTATAGTTGCATAACCATCGCCCTTTTCCCTGTGCCCCTTTTCTCTGAACGGAGGGGTTTTAAAATGTAAAAAAAAAAAAAAGTAAGAAAAAAAATGTTGTCTGAGCAGAATGCAGTTAGCTCACATGTTATTCTTGTCTGTACGCTTCACGTTGTATTCATACCGATCTCTTCAGCTTCTCCATTGAACAGTTAATGTACGTGAACAAGTTACGCCGGTGAGCTCTGGTGGGCCGTCCGACAGACGGGCGTTTCAGCTGGACGCGCTTTGCGAAAACGATAAAGGCCGACTGCTGAGGTAGAATAGGTATTAAAGGAGTTTGAGCTATTTATTTCGTTTTTGTTACCAAATTCATTTGATTTGCTATGATCTGTTTGTATTGATATTGCATTGAGAATCTGTATTGATGATGCACCTTTGAATGGTTGTACGTGACCAGATATTTAATTTTAAAAAAAAGTTAGTCAAGATGAAGCACCTTAAAAAACGGAGTGGTTTCAGCCCAGGGAAAGTGACATGGCTTCAAAGCGACCGCGAGCCCAGCGTTACGAGCCAAACTCATAGACCAAAGTGACGCACGCCACAAAAACCTGAGCGAAACTAAAATGAACTTAAACTCACCAGCAAAAGCCGACGTTGTTGGCTTAACACGACAACTTGCTTTCTCCCTCAAACAAAATATGCAATTGTTTCACCTTCCCGAGTCCGTGAAGCCGGCATGCGCGTTGGCTATGAAATATTAATAACTGTAATAAGTGAAAGCCATAGCGACTGAAACGTGTTTGGCGCTCTCGTTGTCCCTCCCTGGTACTGACCGTCCATTTTCTTTCTTTCGTATTTACTTTTGTATTTTTTTTATTGAGTGGGGCATTCGGATGCGTTTAGAGTAGCATGAACCCTCGGCAGCTCCGGTCTTGTTTGAACTTGTCGAGCAGCGGGCGCCCTTCTCAGTCCACACGCCTTCCAGAGCTCATGGTGAAATGCATGTGTTGATTACAATTTCTTTTCCATAATAAGAAAAACAAGTAAGAGCAGCACCTTTAACTAATTGAATAAAAGGATGTTCTTGACTGTAACGTTGAGTCTGTGTGGTTATTTTGATCTTTAGCTCCAATTTAGCCCCCAGGAGCCCTCAAGGTGACTTAAAATAATTTAAAACAAGTGTTAAAAGAATAGTTCACCTAACAATGAAAATGCATTCACCCTTAGGCCATCCAAGATGTAGATGAGTTGAAATGATTTGGAGAAATTTAGCATTACACAATGGATCCTCTGCAGTGAATGGGTGCCGTCAGAATGAGAGTCCAAACAGCTGATAAAACATCACAATAATCCACACCTCTCCAGTCCAATCAATTAATAATTGAATCAGGAGAGAAATATGCACAAATCAAACACAGTTTACAAGTGAAAATGGTCCAAAACAGTCCTAACAAACATGTTGGTGGATTTGGATGTGAGAGGACAACAGGAGATGGACTTTTTCCCTGGATTTAGCGTTATTATGGATTATGGACTCATAAAACATCTTGATGGATTTGTTTCTTACAAACATGCAGCTTTTCACTTCAGCAAGACATTAATTGCTGGACTGGAGTGGTGTGGATTATTGTGATGTTCTTATCAGCTGTTTGGACTCTCATTCTGACGGCACCCATTCACCGCAGAGGATCCATTGCTGAGCAAGTGATGTAATGCTACATTTCTCCAAATCTGTTCTGATGAAGAAACAAACTCATCTGCATCCTGGATGGCCTGATGGTGAGTACATTTTCAGCAAATTTTCATTTTTGGGCAAACTGTTCCTTTAAAATTAGCTAAAACAACAACAAAACTGACATTTTTATTACCATAAAAAGTGGTTGCGTACCATGTTGATATGTGATATGAAGTAAATATATTCGCACAACAAACCATTTTTGTGTTACAGCAGATATTTATTTGGTGTACTTTTGTCACATTAAATTTACAGTATATAAATAATTATTTACTGCACCTTTAATACATTTTCCCCTGAGTGAAGGTACTGGGTTTGGATGACAAGCATCTGCTAAAATGCAATTATTATTATTTTTTAATTGAAAAAGGCATTAAAGTACATTGTTTACAAAAGTTAGTTATATTGATCAGCACCGTGCATGTGTGTGATCACTGGTTATGTTCAGTAAAAATAGAACAAAAATTGCTTTTTAGAAAAAATTAGGAACTATTAAGACTTGTGCGTCAAAGCAAAATTAAAAGGCTATTTGAAAATATTAAAGGGCACCTTTTGTAAACATCTCCAAAAGGTTTGGAAATTTCTTTAAATATTTATAATATAAAATAGAACATTTCAATCTATTTACATTGGATCGTTTTAAAATTATAACATATCATTTGCAGCCCAAAAAAATCAGCATTTTGTGCTATTAAGGAAATTGAGCAGAAATCAACCCGCTGAGGGTGATCAGAGTTCATTTAGCACATATGGACGTCTAAACTGAGCCTCATATGTGATAAATGTTTTTATGATCGCATCCCTCCCAGTCGATGAGCTCTGAGCGATGAAACCACAGTGAAATCTCCCGCTCCGCTCCCTCCACTGAATCAGATGCATGGACCACATTTCTGAATGAATTTAACAGTGAGGAAAGTCATTTCACCCATGCGACTCATATACATGCCAAAGGTTTATTCCTTAATTTATATGCAGCTTCAAACTGTGAACACAATTAACCAATCACTGATCACGAGAGGACAGAGCACAGCTCGTGTAATATTAGTGAAACAGAGCATGTGAACTTTATATGGCAAACATAAAAATATCCTCTATATTAAAATCTAAATGTCATATTTTTGTAATAGCTACAACAAACGTAATATAGTAATGGTACATATTTTTATATATACCATGTTTACCATATATTAATATATCTTGGTATTTCAACAGATACAATGATATTGCTATGAAATACATAAAAAAACAGTTACATCTAGCATTAATGATATCAAATGTAAAGCAATGGTACTAAATACCATTCATTGATTCATTTACATGGTTCTCTAAAAGTAATTGTAGTCCCTTAGACTTTTTTTACTAATTGTATAGTGTAGCATTAATATTGCAGCTAAACAGACTGTTTTAATAACGTTATGAAAACGTTATTTCAGAATGCTCTCAAAGCGTTCACATCTATTTTTTTCTTGGTTATGTGAACATTAAAGGAATCTTATATTTTGCAAACATTATGGGAGTGTTACTTTTTAATGTTCTCAAACATTCTGAAAGAAGTAACATTTAAAAAAAAATGTTTAAACTTTATACACAAAATAATGTTCTTTTTAGTAGCATCATATGACCCCTTAAAGACCGGATTACTTTTAAGAAACATAGGCTAAACGTAACTAGAAGAGCATTTGTTTAGAACTTTGAGAGAACCTTGTCAGAACGTTGGCCAAAGATCTGAAAACGTTCTCTTGTTAGCTGGGATCCATACATTTCCCCGCTAACTAAAATATGTTCTAAGAACATTTAACTAACGTTCACATCACGTTATGAAAATGTTATTTGAGTGTTTTCTGAACGTTAAAAAAAGTAAAGTTTTTTGTTGGTCATGTGAATGTTAGAGACAATGTTAGGCTACAGACAATAATGATCGATAGTTTTGAAATCATTATGGGAATGTAAACGTTCCATAAATAATGTATAATGACGTTTTGAGAGCGATATTACAGACCAGATAACAACGAACGTACTATTAACGTAACTGTAAGAACATTTGTTTATAACTTTGAGAGAACATTGTCAGAAAGTTGGCCAAAGATCTGAAAACGTTCTCAGTTAGCTGGGATCCATAAACAGTGTTGCCAACTAATTTTCAGGGGAAGTTGCTAAACGAAGGTCCATTTGTTGCTAAAAGTTGCTAAATGACGTTGCGATGTCATTGCGCGATGACGTCATTACGGAATCACGACGCAAAATTGTGTCACTACATCAGATCTCAGCAAAAATATATGTTATATGTTCATTTAGATTTGTTCGTAAAATAATATAAATATAATGTTAAAATATAAATAACAATTTTTATATACAACATTGAACGATTTCATTTTTTAACGATTACAAGTTTTTTCATTAGCTAGTAAACTAGTAAAACTACACATTCTGAACAATTATAGTTTTAAGCAGTGTATTAGTAGTCAGTATGCTACTCTAATGGCACTTTTCCACTGCATGGTACGGCACGGTACGGCTCGGTACGGTTCACTTTTGGGGGGCTTTCCACTGGGTACAGCAACTTTAACCACATGTGAATAATCCCGCCCACTCTAAAGCGGTACTGAACTGCAGTGGAAACGCAAACCGTGCCGAGCCGACCCGTGCCGAACCGTGCCGTGCCGTACTGAGCCGTACCGAGCCGAGTCGTACCACGCAGTGGAAAAGCGCCATAAGAAAATAAATCACAGATTTTTACCTGCATTTTAAATTACGCATTGTATTTTGTGTTTTAGGGTTACAATGGATAATTGATAACGGATAATTTCCTGGAAAATTATTAGTACCTTTGCCATTTTTCTAGATATTTTTCTTACAGTGTACTAACTGATCAACAATCACAGGTACAAGCTACTAACAATGTGTATCATAAATGAACAATTATTAAATTATTATTGTTATTATCAAATTGAACAACTGCAAATATCAATAACTTAATTCACGTGATGTATGTACTGCTAGGCATCTTTGGTTTCCTCTTTTTGTGAAATTTAGATGGAAAATGTGTGCCTTTGTATTGTTTGAGTCACTTACCAAAAGTTACTAAAAGTAGCCAAATAAAATTTAAAAATAGCTAAATTTGTTGCTAGGTGCTTTTGGAAGAAAAAGTTGCTAGGGTAGTCTGAAAAGTTGCTAAATTTAGCAACAAAATTGCTA